GCTTTTCTAATTTTGTGAGGGTGTTAAAACTTACTGTGACTTAAATTTCCTAGTCTTGATATTGGTTGTTTCGGTTTTGAACATGTTAATATATTTATGATTTTTGTTGTTAGTTTATCATTATTATGCCTGCCTGATGTGGCGCTAGCCTTACAAAACTAAAAATGTAGATAATTCACTTGGATTTTTTATTGTTAAAGGACGTAGGTAAAAAATACATATTGTCTTTTTAATTTATTCTACCATCATAGGTTCCAGTTCAAAATCAGGTGCTCCACTGAATCCATCCACATTGTCGTCAATGCAGTGCCACTTGTTCATAAAATTGCATGCAATTGTTCGGAATTAAGTGAATCAGTCAGTTTAGTCAGTTGGTTCATTGGCTAACAAATAACGCTAGGTACCAGAATGTGGCCTAGATCTTTTTTTGCAGTAAAGATTACGATTCCTAATGCAATATTATGCGAAAGTCTAAAAATCACAAATTTGTGGGTTGTTTTTCTTTCTGCAGAAAGCTGTAGACATCAAGGACAAACGGTCCTCATATATGCAACAAAGAATACATGCTCTAATAATATTGACTACTTTGAGCATATATTACAAGTAAAATGCTATCAGTCAATCAACATGGGTTTATGAAAGGTCGCTCAACAGTTACCAACCTGGTTACCGTCACACAATACATTGCTGAATCCATTGATGAGCGCGCCCAGACTGATGTCATCTACACAGATTTCTCAAAGGCCTTTGACAGACTTGACCACGGTATTCTTCTTGGAAAACTTACAGGGTTTGGGTTGTCCCCCCCTTTGATAAATCTCTTTCAGTGCTATCTAGTAAATCGTACTCAGTTTGTACAGCTTAATGGGTTTAAGTTTGTCAAATTTGCAACAACATCTGGAGTTCCTCAGGGTTCCATTCTGGGCCCGTTACTATTTAATATTTTCATCAATGATATTTCGAGTGTAATTAAAGAGCAGTTTTTACTGTATGCAGATGATTTAAAATTATACAAGCGTGTGACAAGTATTGGCGACTGTGAACAACTTCACATAAACTTAAATCTAGTGGTTGAATGGTGTAACATATGCAACAAAGAATACATGCTCTAATAATATTGACTACTTCGAGCATATATTACTAGAGCCATCGTCCAAATGGACTTTGTTTTGGTACAGGGGGGAAAAATAGTGTCCAGCATTCCCATTGGTCTGTTTTGTTTTGCCTGGCATGTCAAATCGTTCGAAATTGTCAGAACTGTCATTTGATTTTTATTTTCATTAATTTCTAGCTTATTTTTGTAGGTCATAAGTAATTTTTTGTATTTTATTACTTTAGTGATACAGATTTTAACAGTGGTGAGAGTTTGTGTAAGTTTTAAATAGAAATAAGAAAAGGCATCGTCAAGGTCATTTCACAAGTAAGTAACCATTAGCGTTTCTACCATTTTTTTAAAAGAAACATAAGTACCTACATTTTATGCTTAATGCCGTTAAACACGCATTTAAAATAAATGGTAAATTTAGTAAATTAAATTTAAAGAACTTGTATTATGTATGAGGAATTGGACTCTACTAAAAGTTAAAAAAAAAATAATCACAATTTTTCAATGTAAACAAGCTTTTCGTTTTTAACTCATTTTATCATAATGTTGAAGATGTTAAATCAATATTTTTTTTTGTAGATTTCCAACTAATCCTGCCGAAAAACGCATTTGATGAAACATATTGAAACTTACTCCAGAAAACATTTCAAATAGTGATGTTTTATGTTCCAATTATTTTTCTGGACATATGTTTATGTCAAAGACTGGATGCGGAGGAAGAACTAGATTAATTCCAGGTGCATTGCCATCAGGACTTACTGAGGCCCCAGAAGAAGATGAAACTAAAAGGTAAAGAACCCTGCACTTGTGGGTTAATCGTTTAAATTTTTTTTAATTTTTCAGTGATGATCCGAACCATGAAGCCTCTGTTACAGAAAAAGAAAATGCAGAATTAGAAAGCATATAAATAACTAAGTACTTTTTAATACAACATAAGTTTTTATTTTCAAATACTTACCTATTACTAACTATATTTTTTATAAACCACAAAAATTGACAATCATTATTTTTTATTAAATATACCTATGTTCTTTAATTAAGTAGACTGCTAGTGGTTAAGAAATAAGCAAAGCCTAATTCGATTTTTTCATTAAAAAATTCGTTTTAAGCTTCTTTTATTTGTACAGTTTTCGGATAAAAATTAAGCTTCACTTATTTGTTAACGACTGGCAGTGCAAATGTACCTAGTATTAGCTTTATTTGTATTTGTAGTATATCGTTTAGTAATCTATTGATCATTGTTTACGAACAATATTTTTATATTTAATAAATTATTGGAAAAAATTATTTTATTGTAATTCTCGTACACGTGTGTTAATAGATATCATAAATATTTTTATAATATACCTAATATTTATTTATATTTTTGATTTTTAAATATAAGCTCTTTAGCTTTTTTATTTCCTATTATTTCAACCTTCATTTTTCCGTTATACACTTTCTGATGTTTGAATTAAAAAAATTTGATGATAATAAAAAATATTAATAATTTACTATTACTAGATACCTACTTAAATAATGCAAGTTTATAAAATATGTGCATAATTTAATGAATTTTAAAGGCATATATCAAATTTATTATTTATATTAATTGGAAACCTCGTAAAAATGATGCGACACTGGAAATAGCGTCTACCTATTTCCCCTCATAACCCAAACAAACGCTTTTAAATGCGGACTCTATGAAATATATATCGTCGTTGTCGCGGTGAAACCTCCTATGTACATTTCATCAAAATTTTCAGTAGATATAAAAACGTAACAATTTTGTTCTGATGCCTTATATGATTCTATCCCTAGCTCTAGCACCTCTTTAATATAATCTAACTTGAATTATATTCGTTCAGAAATCTGTAGGATTCCCCGTCCTTAAGTCATTACCCAGCAAACATTTTCTATAACATTAGTTATAACTCGACTTTGTTAAAGACGAATTTACTTATTGAGGTAATTATTACTTAAAATTGACTAGAAAAATATACCTACCTCTAATGTAAATTTACCAAACGGTTTTAATTTATATTTAAATTTACGTAAATTATACCAAGAAATCTACCTTTTACACAAATCTGTTTAAAAGTAACTTTAACCATATCAGCAAGGGAAAAACTACTTAAAAAAATAACCAACAATTACTTCAAAGTTAAATTTCCTTTGTAGTAAAATTAGGTGCCATATTTAGGTAATATCTACCTGTTTGGCAACTAAAAATCGTCTTTATAGTAGAATATTTAACTAGGTAGATTTGGTTAAAAATTCTACATAATTTTATGCCTCCATAGTAACCTATTTGGCCGCTTTTATTAACTCTCCTTTAAAGTAATATTAGGTCAAGACCGTAGCAAAATTCTACCTGTGTATCTACCTAATTTCAACCAAATAGTCGAATACTCATTTAGTTGACTTATAAGTCATCTTGAAGAAATATTTATTAACTTTGTTGTAGCAATTACCTGAAAAATCTACCACAAAGTAAATTCGACTAAAAACCACCAATTTAAAAAGAGTCATACATGACCTATTTGTAAAATTTATATTATTTAGGTTATTTTAACAATTAGGTTGTTCAGTTACTGTCTTCGTCATTATTCTTAAGAATTTCGGCCATTTTAAAAAAAACATTACTCTCGTAATCTTAATTTACGTGTGGTGTAGATAGAGCTTTAAATGAGTGCGAAAAATAATTAATAAAATGAGTTCGAAAAATAATAAATCATATCGTTATACTTCCGATTTTTATCGTAAAGTGAAACGTCTAAAATCTCAAGTGCAGAACAACGTGACCTAAATATGTTATATCTACCTATAGGTAAATTTTTTATAAAACCTATAAGTTATTATTTCTTTAAATAGGTAAAGTTAACTAATATGTCGTGAAATTGAAGTTAATTCAACTTAATAAAAAGGTATTTGTAAAATACGTAGATTTCCTTAGTCATAATAACTTTTAGGTCGAATTCGCACAATACGCTATATTTTCTTAACGTAATTGAAGTACGATTCCAAATTTTAAATTTTTAAAATGACCATAACTAGAACATACGAATGAAAATACCGAAAAACGAAACATTATCGATTTTCTAAAGTGATACACAACAAACGTAACATAGTTTTAGCTCATAATATTATTATTTTTTTACACGATCATATTTTTTTCTTATATTTTTTTTAATTAGAGAATATTTTGGAAGGGCATTGTTATTTTTCTAAGTAGAACTGTTAACATGCACGACAAAATTTTCTTCGCATTAATTTCAACAAGCATGAACTGTATATTCACCGCAATTACATTACATATATTTTTGTCAACGACATTTATTTATTTTCAATCTTTCATGTGAATTAGGTATATGTTTTAGTTGTGTTGGTGACTTCTTACAATATTTCTACTTATATATAGATAAAAATACCAAATAAGTATAAAATTTCTTTTAGTACACTTGGAGGCATACGTCATCTGCAAATATTTTGGTAGTTTCTACCTAAACTTAGTTAAATCAACGTCGAATTAACTTTATACTGACGTCAAATTTCCCTAGAGAGGTATTACTAACCAAACGTATTGGGCTACTACAATGTGGATTTAGATGTAATTCTACCTATTTTGGTAAATAAAACCAAATTTCGACGTCGTCTTATTCTCCACTTATGTCGAATCCACGTCGAGCCAACGTAAATTTTACTTAATTATGGTTAAATCTAATTTTGCGACCAAATTTATTATATATAATTTAGGTAGTATCGACGTCAAATTACACCAAAATGTTTGCTGGGTAGCAAATATTTGTTAAAAATATATCTGTTAAAATCTACTGTTTCTGATATACTAATTTCACTGTATTAATGATTTTACATATAAATTTTGAATATAAAATGTATTACTTAATACTTGCAGGTTAGAGAAGATGTTTTAAAATCTTTACACAATAACTTTTTAATGACTTTAAATCAAGCTTGGAATGATCATCAAACCTCAATGGTCATGATTAGAGATATACTTATGTATATGGACAGGGTGTATGTACAACAAAACGATGTTGATAATGTATATAATCTTGGACTGATCATATTCAGGGATCAGGTAAGTTTTTTTTTATAATTTGATCATATTGTTTCTTTAAAATTATAATATTTAATAAATTAGGTGGTACGCTATGGTTGTATCAGGGATCATCTTAGGGAAACATTACTTGATATGGTAATGCGAGAGCGTAGAGGAGAAAAAGTCGATAGAATTTCAATTAAAAATGCATGTCAAATGTTAATGGTCCTTGGTATCAACTCCCGTTCTGTGTATGAGGAGGACTTTGAGAGGCCTTTCTTACAGCAATCGGCAGAATTTTACAAGGTATATTATCTTAATTCTCAAAGCATAAGTATTGTTTTATATATAAAAAAAATGTTTTATAGGTGGAAAGTCAAAGGTTTTTGGCAGAAAACAGTGCGTCTGTGTACATAAAGAAAGTAGAAGCCCGTATTAATGAAGAATCAGATCGTGCCAAGCATTATTTGGACGAGTCAACAGAATCTCGAATTGTAGAAGTTGTAGAAGAAGAATTAATTAAGAAACATATGAAGACAATTGTCGAGGTAAGCACTATTATCTTGATAATTTATCATAATGTATTCAATAGGAAGGTTGATGAGCTGTTAGTGAAACTAGAACCATATAGAGTTAGTATTTTTTTTTTTTGTTAGATAACATTTTATTCAATTATTTTGTTACTCATCTACTGGGTGATCCATTAGTGAGAAAAGTCCAATATCTTTGCCATTATTAGAGATATCAAAAAATATTTTCACAGAACGGTAGACAGCGTTAAAATACACATTTTAAAACTATTTTCGAATATACAGGGTGTTTAATAACTTCCCTCTGGAACCAACTTATGTTCTTTTTAATGGATCATCCTGTATTTTATTTTATATTTGAATTACCCTCGCTTTTCCCATTCTAAAAATATAAATTATTATTGGTTTATACAGGTTATTTTGCAGGATATAATCAGTTTTGTATGAAAATTGTATTGAATTCAATGACCTATATCATGCAAAAGAAACCATTGATAATCTTTTTTTGTTTTTCTACCACAACTTTTCAATCATGGTCAAATTTTATGCGGAGACACTACTTTTTTCAATTCGCATCAAATCTGTATAGGGTGAGTCAAAACACAAATACATACTTTTCTCAATTTTTTTAAATGGTTCACCCTGTATTTTATATCATCGTTCAAAAGTATCCTAATTTAAAGACCACCTTTCCTGACTGTCAGTAATTATTTGGTATTGATTAGAAGTGGAATAATAATGAAAGTTGTGCCTATTGACACAGCCATTTCGATGAAAAATTGCCTCTTCTCCAAAAAGCACGTACTCAAAAAAATCTCTTCGTTCAGTAATTTTTTGTTGTGACCATTCACAAAAAGTTACCCTGTGTTCAAAATCCATAATAGTGAGTTCTTGATGTAGTTGCATATGATACGGATGCATTTTATTTTTGGAAAGTATTCTTTGTACTGACATATAACTTATTTCCTGTTATTTCCTGGTATTTCTTATACTTGTATGCGGATTTTCGGTAACTGCTAACAAAACATTTCGTTCATTTTCCTCTTTGGTAACAGTTTTTGTTCTATCAATTTTCTCATATGAAACTGGCCCTGTTTGGTTAAATCGATCCATCAGTTTTTCGAACGATATTTTATTTGGCGTTCTACGCTCTGGAAATCGTTCTTTATAAACTCTAGTTGCTAACAAAGAGTTTTTATTGCATTCTTCCAAAATCCATGCCATATCAACTAATTCTTCACGACTATAATTTATATTAAAAAATACGTTTGGCACTCGGGGACTGCCGCGGTAAAGCTATTGCATAGCATTTTTAATCAACTATATAATTATTTATTTATTTTATTTATGCAGTATTTTTTTTTTTCTTTGATATTAATTCAAGTTTTTTCTTTGATATTAATTCAAGTTACATTTTTTGAGCGTGGTGACCGATAAGAAAACATTTTTTTTTCTTTTATTGAATAAATGAGAAGTTAATATTGTTTAAAATATTTTTATTATCTTACAATACATGTAGGTTATTCAGGAATTTTTATCATTGAAACTATAGGTTTATGGTAACTGAAATAAGAAACATAAGTTTGAGACTTGATATCCTCTAAATATCTGGAAAATACCGTGCCAATGGTTCCATATTTTGTTGTGGATTCTTGTGGATCATTATTCATTTTCAAATTCAATTTTTCCGAAATTGTGTCTAAAAGAGATAGAATCAGTTATGAGCAGTTAGCACCTAGTCTACATGCATACGTCTAGTCGCAGGCACACAAACACCGTACCGAACTGAAACGACGTTAGACGATGCACGGCTTTCAACGCCGCACCGCTGTGCCGGTCGGAGTGGGGGGTGTTAGGTTTATTTTCGTTACGGAATTTCTTTTTCGATTTTTCAATTTTTCGATTTTTCGATTTTCTTTTATTGAATAAATGAGAAGTTAATATTGTTTAACGCCGCACTGCTGTGCCGGTCGGAGTGGGGGGTGTTAGGTTTTTTTTTTCGTTACGCGTTACGGAATTTCTTGATTCGGTCGCCGCGCTCAAAGCCCGCGATAAAAGCTATGCAATAGCTTAAAAACTGGCGAGACTTTGTAGAAAACAAATAATGCAACACTAATGACATTAATAATAACAAACTGTTATCGTTTACGACAACACTCTTATTCTGGTATATTTTACATGATATTTTACAGCTAGTAACACCGAGACATAGGTGAATGATACAGCGAATATTTACACATTGAATATAATGAAATAAACAAATAATATTATTACATACCTGAATTTACAAAGGAACAAAAAGAAAACAAAACAATACACCTTCTCTCGACACTCTCGCTCGGCTCACCTCTCATCTCCTCTCCTCTGACAGAGCGCGAGCGAGGGGTGTCCTTCTTGCACAAATTATGCCGCGGTAAAGGTAGCTCATGAACGTTGGCGTACGCTGGGGTTTTTTATAGGGTCTTTAACAAAACTGTCAGTATTGGGGGCTTTCAAAGCCAACTCAAAAAAAAAATCTGATGTGTCCAACACATGACTTTCCTATCTAGTTAACCTATTGCAGCATCTCTAAAAATGTTTAGAGGATAAACTAAATATATACATTTTCCACATACATCTACCTCGAAACATTTTTCTATAAATATTCATTGAAAACGAAAATACTGAAAAATTTTAATTTAGCACTTTTCCTCCAATTTTTCCATTACGGTCCATTTTAGAAAAGTAATTTAAAAACAAAAATTATAGAGATCGATATCGCAAACAACTTTTAGATTAACAATTTTCTTAAAAATCAGAATTTTGCACATTTTGTCAAATTTCTCGAATACGGACCATTTCAGGAAAATTTGACATAAAACAAAAATTATAGATAATAATATTGTAAGTAACTTTTATTTAAAGAATTTTCTTCCCCAAACGTAAATAACGAATATATTCCATAAAATATAAAAATGACCACCAATAAAGTACCCCCCAAATGTTCCGACTCTGTCCAAAATCTAATCAGTTCACCTCAGGTCGAAATAAAACTTAAGTTTAAAATTTAATGTTTTTTCCTTTATCCGTTTTTGAGTTTTCTTCAAAATTCGAAATTTACACATTTTCTCAAATATCTCGAATACGGTCCATTTTAGAGAAATTATTTATAGGATAAAAATTATAGAGAATTATATTACAAACAACTTTTATTTGAACAATTTTTATAAAAAATTATTTTTTTTACATTTTGTCAATTTTCTCGAATACGGACCATTTTAGGAAAATTTTGCATAAAACAAAAATTATAGATAATTATATAAGAAGTAACTTTTATTTGAAGAATTTTCTTCTCCAAACGTAAATAACAGATATATTCCATAAAATATAAAAATGACCACCTATAAAGTACCCCCCCAGATGTTCCGACTCTGCCCAAAATCTAATCAGCTCGTTGGACGCTGAAACAAAGCTTGAGTTTAAAATTTGGTGTTTTTCTGTGTATCGGTTCATGAGTTATGCGACCTACAGACACACAGACACACACACACACACACATACACACACACACAGACATCATCGCGAAAATAGTCAAAACGGATTCAGGGGACCTCAAAACGTAAAAATCCGTCGAAAACTCGAGGTCGAAAAAAATCATGATACCTATACTTTCCTTATATCTGTATACAGATAGGAAAGTAAAAATTAATAAACAAAATTTAGTAGGTTTCATTTGTAGTTTGTGGTTGCAATGTTAATTATTTCTTTTTCTAATAAATGTATAAGTGACATTACATATTGTCAGAAACTTACTTAGTCGATAATAAATAATTACTTCAGGTTAAATTCAATTAATTACTAATGATAAATAATAGTACATTATATACCTAGGGTGAGAAGTGAGCTATTATTTACCGAGCACTTGAGGGATATAATGTGCGAGGTAAATATTAGCTTTCTCAGCCGAGGTATATATAGAATTTTTTTTACTACTAACATTAATATATTAGCAATTTTAATTTTGACATAAGTAATTTCCTAACAATTTGTTAAATATTTCGAAATATCAAGCAGAGTGGAGCGTGTTTCTAATCAGACTGGCTTTATTTATGTAAAAATTTGGCATGTGTCAAATTTTGATGTGATTCTAGGAAATATCCCATTGCATTTTTGATATTTTAGTGACATGGATTTATTAGTATTAATTAATAATTTTTGAAGCCTATTGCCGGTGTTGAATTTCCTAGTTAATATATATTTTTACTATTAACACTGATATATATTATCATATTTGATTTGATTAGATTTTGATAAACTCAGCTTAAGTTATTTCCTACTTATTTTTCAAATATTTCAAAATATCAAGTAGTCTGGGAGTTTAGTTGTCAAATTAACAAAATGAAACTAATGAAATTTAGTTTCATTATTTACCTAGGTGTTTTTTTATTATCATTATTTATCTAGGGTGAGAAATATTATTTCTCATTAGAGGAATGGAGTGAATAATGGTGATTTCTCATGTTAGTAGTAAAAAAAATGTATTTCCAATCAATTATTTTCTGAATTATCGTTTTTACTACTAAAGTTTAAAAATCTCTAAAAACTATTAACTTTTAGTATAGGGAATGCTTAAGTCAAATTAAAGTATAATTAGGATACTTTTGAACGATGATATAAAATACAGGGTAAACCATTTACAAAAATTATGTATTTGTGTTTTGACTCACCCAGTACAGATTTTATGCGAATTGAAAAAAGTAGTGTCTCCGAATAAAATTTGACCATGATAGAAAAATTGTGGTAGAAAAAAAAAATTGATTGTCGATTGTTTCTTTTGCATGATATAGGTCATTGAATTCAATACGATTTTCATACAAAACTGATTATATCCTGCAAAATACCCTGTATAAACCAATAATAATTTATATTTTTAGAATTGGAAAAGCGAGGGTAATTCAAATATAAAATACAGGGTGATCCATTAAAAAGAACATAAGTTGGCTCCAGAGGGAAGTTATTAAATAATCTGTATATTGAAAAATAATTTTAAAATATGTGGTTTAACGCTGTCTACCGTTCTGTGGAAATATTTTTTTATATCTCTAATAATGGCGGAGATATTGGACTTTTTCACACTAATGGATCACCCTGTATATAATTTATGGATATTGAAATTATTTTTCAAAATGAACAATAGTTTTATAAATTAGACAAATGGCAACTTTCTGGTATATCAGGGAATATGATGGATAGTTAGGGAATTTTAATTCAAATGTTTGGAGAAGACAAAGTGAAATATATTATTTTAGTTAGAATAATATGGAAAACTTTTTTATTATTAATTTTAGGAAAAAAAGTTATTCTTCATAAAAAGTTCTACATTATCTAAAACCTAGAACACAGTCATCAAATATCAAATTTTTCAGGCCGTATACGAGGTTTGTCAAAAAATATGAAGTACGTTTATTTTTGAGAAAATCGAAAATTTTCATTAAGAAAAGTTGATTAGAGTTGAAAATTACATTCAAATATGCAATTACACCGATCTATCTGAAAAAACAGATTTTCTACACATTGATTGTAAATATCTGAAAACGTTATAAATTACGTTAGCTTTTGAAACATTTTCTCTATTTTCTCCTATACACATGATGCGCTTTTCTTTTCTTGATGTTTATGAAGAATTTAGCAATTTTCTTAATGAAAATTTTCGATTTTGTCAAAAATAAACGTACTTTACTCTTGAGCAAAATTCATATTTTTTGACAAACCTCGTATACGGCTTGAAACATTTGATATTTGATGACTGTATTCTAGGTTTTAGATAATGCAGAACTTTTTATGAAGAATAACTTTTTATCCTAAAAAAGTTTTCCATATGATTCCAACTTAGGGGGACATACTGTATATACATTATTTAGGTGTAATAGAAACACGGAATCAAGCAGCAAAGGTCGTGACGGAGGTGTAATTATAATTATAAAGTCGATTCTAAATTCAGTGGAGTTGAGAGTAATTAATAATGATGTGAAACAATCATTTATCATTGGAGGTGCCTATCTCCCACCAAATTCTACTGAATTAAAATATGAGAATCATTGTAATACTGTCATTGATATAATGCAAAATAATGAAAATTGTGATATTATCATATTTGGAGGTTACAATCTGCCAGAGGCAATGTGGTCAAATAATGATTCGGGTGTTTTAGTTAACTGTCCTCAAGGTTCACATTCTTTATTCTTTGATAATTTGATGGACTTTGTTGTATCTGTGGGGTTCAAAAATATTGATAAATGATTAAAAGGAATTTTTTAAATAAAGCTGTTAACATTAGTAGACTGCTTGCAATTTTCAACTAAATCGTGAATTACACTTTGAAAGAAATCTGCAAATTCATCGACAGACGTTGGTTTTAGAAGATTTATTTCTGCCCAAGTTGGTGTTAATTATTTGCCAAGCTGTTTTTTGTTTATTATCAGGCTCAAATATTTTTGTATTGTTCAAAAATAATGTTTCCTTATTAACAATATTACAGTTCATCAAATTTCTAGAGGTGTTCGACGCCCAGACAGAGAACGCGCTACGTGTGACTAAGATAGCTATTGTACAGTCTGCTAAACAAGTTATTTTAAATAGTTTTTAATATTTTTAGGTAATTAAATTTTAAAAGTGTGGAATAGTTTAGGGATTAAATTGGTCTGATTGGACTTTCTTAGAACGTTTTTAAAAGCAGCTAAAGATAGTATGTAGAATTGAAAATAATTATTATGCCATAAAAGGTGTTTTGGAATTCCTTCAACCTTTTGAAATTGAGTCAGAAAATATAAATTTTATAGGATAGCGGAAAATACCTATAATTTTTTTGTAGGCCTTTGTAAATCGTGGAAATAATTTATATTTTATTTCTACCTTATTAAGGAAAATGGTACCTATTATTAATAACGGTTGTTTCTGAAACATTACTAAAATTTTCGAAATTTTGTTTTTCTACAAAATAATAAACTATACTATTTAGAAAAAAATTTATTTCTCTTATAATTTTATAAAAAATAACAGGGGAATATTTACATTTCTTGATCTATTAAACAAAACGATAAATTATCTCGACGAATGACACCATGTTCTAGTACGGAAGCTAGCTTTACATTTTTGTTGGTGGTTTCATGGGTTTCATATCAATTTTTTGTAATTGTAGTTTACACGTACATATACCTCTTAACACTTGTTTGCTTTATTAAAAAAGTGTGTTGTTGTGATTTACGTCGAAATAAGTCAAAAACAACATGAAACCCCATATAAAATCAAAAAGGAGAAACGGAAAAAAATTGAGCCTGTAAATGAACACAACTCAGAAACAAAAATAGCTATCTAATAATAAAAAAATAAAATTTGATTCTTGTGCAGCTTCATCTATATCATTAACTGTTTTTGGTTTTTTAATGGTTTTTCTTGGTGATGAAAATTCCGATATCTCACGGTTATCGATTCTTTTTTTCTCTCCAGAAATGCGGACGACAGTGTTTTTAGATACTCCTGTGGCTGCAGCAACACGATCATTTACATTTTTAAATGGTATTGAAGGTGAATTAAAGTTTCCTTCTCTTCTCATAAACTCTATAACATTGGCTATTATTTCGCGAGATTGACTGTTAATCACGCGGCCTCTTAATTTGCTATTAAACTCCATACTTAGGTTCTATTAAACTGTAATGAGCAAAAAACACAAACGAAAATAAAAGAAATGTTTTAGCGAAATTTACATCTGACATTTACGTCTGAATGAAATAGTGAAATACTTGATGCGCAGAGTGTACTTTCATTGCGTAAATCCGTCGGGATGCCTGTCAGTAGTGCTTTCTCTGTCTAGCCGTCGAAAGCCTCTAGAAATTTGATGAACTGTACGGTATTCTTTTATTAAAAACGATAATAATTCGTAGAATTGAATATTACTTGAGTAGCATCTAACTTTGACTTAATGTTTGCTAAATTATTTTTACTTTTGATTACCTTCTTTTCAGGAAAATATTGTAGGTACAGTTTGGATAGAACGTAAATAATATTAGCTTAGTCGTTCTCATTAAATTTATTTAAATTTCAACTTAACTTTTTTAATTCAGATCTAAAATTATGTATGGTCCTCTCAGTCATTGGCCTACTTAAGATGCATCGTTTAAATTTTTTGTATCGGTGATTAGTTTAAGTGTTATACCCCTGTGATCCAAGATAAAAGGCTCAATGACATCTTAAATTAAATTTTTCTTTTTCTAAGTTTGTAAATAAATTGTCAACTCTTGTTCTACTTTTATCTGTTACCCTAGTATCTACAAACACTTGTTCATGTAATTCAAACGATAAAAAAATATTTCTACAATCATTAACAGCTCTGGTATTTTCCTTGAAATTAAAATTAAAATTTCAAACGACTACTGTTTTGGAGTCGAGGGGAATTTTTTTTTCTAATAGTGTATCTAGTATATTCACATATATCAGTGTCGCCATTTGGTGAACGATAAGTGCCTACTATAATAATTTTGCTATGAGTTAACTAGTAACAAACAAGTTCAGCATTTAAATCACTACAAAGATCATTGAAATCTATAGTGCTGCAGGGTATGTTATTTTTTCCAAAGATACAGACTCCACCATGTTCATGAGAATTCCTTACATAACTTATAACCGTAAAACCAGGAAACACGGCAAACTCCAGTTCATCGTGTTTAAGCCAAACCTCTACAAGACCTTAAGTTTTTGTACCAACAATTGCATTATATTAAATTTATTACGAATACTCCTTACATTAATATAGAAAATATAAAGAGTAGCCAAATTTTTGGAGCCAATCTCTTTATAATGTGATCCTTTAACAGCATAAAAGTTGCACGTGAGCTTACATCGACTCTTTCAGTAGCTAATCTTTTTGAAAATCTGAAATCCCCACATATAAAAAATCCATATGGGTGTGATTAGGATTGGTCATGTCTAAACTAAAACTATTTTCTGTATCTGAATCATATAAACTAATAGATGCTGTGGGACTCTTTTCAACATATGTATCTATTTCATTTATTCTAAAAACTTCTGGTTCATTAGGTTTAATATAAATTAAATTTTGATGTTCAATAAATGGACAGTCTATTGCACTCTTTATGGAAAGAGCTCTCTTATATTTGTTCATTTTATAACCCCCCTTTAAAATAAATATAAGTTTTTTCACAGTACATGAAATTGAAAAGATTATTACATTATCACAGAGAGTTTTTTAATTTGTTTTTTTTTGTGTTTGGGGAGCTCATTCCACACATTTATCACACTGTCAGGAAATTTCTTCTGCAAATATATATTCTTGTCCTTCAATATCTCACCAAATAAACCAAACCTGCAAAATAGGGTTGTCTTAACATAAATTTTAATTGTTCTAGATGGAAAATTCGGGAGTGGTGCACATGTTGAAACACCAGAAGACGGACGACCTGGCGTGTATGTACAAATTATTCGGCCGAGTCACTGACGGTCTCAAAACCATGGCGGATTGCGTCAGCCTGTATCTCCGCGAGCAAGGCAAAGCCCTGGTGCAAGAAGAGGAGCACCAACCCGCCACTAACGCTATTACGTTCGTGCAGTCGCTGCTTGACCTAAAGGATGGCTTCGATCATTTCCTCAAAAATTCGTTCAATAACGATAAAATCTTCAAGCAAATGATTGCTTCGGATTTCGAACACTTTTTAAATTTGAATCCCAAATCGCCCGAGTATCTCTCGCTGTTTATCGACGACAAGCTTAAAAAGGGCGTCAAAGGGGTGAGTATTGATGAAAGATTTTTTTTTCTCTTAATATTGTCAATATATTTTTATTTTTAGATGTCTGAACAAGATATAGAATTAGTTTTGGATAAATCAATGGTCCTGTTTAGGTTTCTTCAAGAAAAGGACGTGTTTGAGAGGTATTATAAGCAACATCTTGCCAAACGATTGTTGCTCAATAAGTCTGTGAGTGACGATTGGGAAAAAAATATGATCTCAAAATTAAAGGTATTACTATTTATTACTTTGCTTTTTACATTTCACATTTTATTATAATTCTTTTATATATACAAATAATTATATTAAAAATGTTTCAGACCGAATGTGGTTGTCAGTTTACATCCAAATTAGAGGGCATGTTTAAAGATATGACTGTATCAAATACAATTATGGATGAATTTAAGGAACACATCACAAAATCAGAGGTAAACAATTTTTCAGATGGTTTTATTTCATTTAGCTTATTTTGAATTTATAATAGACATAGATCCATTTGCACTGCTATTCGTTAAGAACTGACATTTTTCCATTAACAATGTCACTTTAAGCTTCGCTTAGTTCTTAACGACTAGAGGTGTAAATGGGCCCTTCATCGATTCGTTTTTTATTTTTAGACCAATTTAGGTGGTGTAGATTTATTTATGCGAGTTTTAACTACTGGCTTTTGGCCAACTCAAAGTGCAACTCCTAAATGTCACATACCAGCTGTACCACTTGCTGCCTTTGAATGTTTCAGAAGGTAAATACTTCCTTTAATTTAATTCTGATAATACGTAGTGGTGATTACCTGAACTGTGAAATTTTTAGCTTAATAACAAAATTTACATGTCTATTAGGGATGGCCAAATGTATTTCGATTTAGTGACAAAAAGTTGTGGGTTGTGATGCTTCACTAATTTTTTTTTATCCAAGAAAATAAAACCTCAAAATCAATACATCAATTTTATTATAAATAAATACAGGTACGACTAGTTTCGGCCTCACAGGGTCATCTTCAGGCCTGTAATACAATAAACCCTAATTAAAATAGGAATAATTTAAGATTAGTTTGATCACTTATGATTAAATAGTTGACTGAATGAATACAACTCTAGAATGGATCCATATTTTAGCGTTAATATGATCCATTCTAAATAATAGTTTAAGGATACAATAGATGTGACCCTTGTTACACTAGTGACACAAAATTATGCAAGTAAATGAAATAACATTAAATATGAGTGCTTAATTTTTATTCGGCAGAGTATGGCCAAAATGAACTGGAGAATACCCCAGGGCTTACGCATTTGAAAGTGTTTATAACCAACTCTTCCATGAACGCCTCTGCTCCGATCGTGGAATGAAGTAGGAAAGATCTACGCATGTTCATGGGACTGGTGACATGACATTGTTCTCTGAGTAAGCACATAAGAAGGATATGTCTGCAACAAACATCGGACTGTCGATTCTGCAGCGTGGAAGATGAATCCGCAGAGCACATTATATGTACAGGGTTTTTCATTATATTTTGACCACTACTTATTTTCATTATTCTTGTGAACACAAAAAAAGTTTTAAGTAAAAGCTTTGTTGTTTTACCTCAACTTTTTCGGCCACAGTATCACCCATTACAAGCAATCAACTGATAACTTTTAATAAAAAAACAACTGTTTTACTTGGAAACATCATTTTCATAGCCATCTATGTGTTACGCTTTCATAGTCCAATAAGTCACTAAATAATTAAAATATTATATATTTGTAATAAGGAAATAAAGGTCTACTTAAAATTACAAAAATATACAGGGTATCCCATAAAAAAAATTGAAATAATATTTTGTTGGGGGCGCCCTGTATAGTTATTATATTTTTACTCGGTACAGATAAAATAATAAAGCTTTTACTTGAAACTTTTTTTTGTGTTCGCAATAATAATGAAAATAAGTAGTGGTCAAAATATAATGAAAAACCCTGTACCTGCTCCACTTTGGAAAGAAGTAGGTTCCAGACCGACTGGAACCTACCGACTTTAAATAGGTTTTACCCAATTTAACCACGGCCTTCATCATAAGGTGTGGCTTATACGGTGAACTATAAGTTAGATACAAGCCACAATAAATCCATCTGAGCTGCAGTGAAAGGCGATGAGATCATTCCACTCATTTTCAACCTAACCGGCAAAATGGGATCATTTTAAATCCAGAAACTGTGGAGTTAGTAAACAATAATTATACAGTTTAGAATTAAATAAAGTAAATGACCTGTTGACATGTTATTTTCGCATCTCAGTTTTCAATGAGTTTGAGACATAAAGTTTGTGTGTTTAGATTTTATTTGGCCAAGCACAGCGGCCGTCAATTAACGCTGCAACCGCAACTTGGCAACGCCGATTTGAATGCCGTGTTCTATGGTCCCAAGAAGGACGACAGCGACAAAGACGGTGCATGCTCTTCATCCACGACTGTCGTTTCTAGCAGGACTGGGCCTCGCAAACACATCATTCAAGTGTCTACGTATCAAATGGTAGTATTGATGCTCTTCAATAATCACGATAAACTTTCATATGAAGAGATACTCAACGAGTCTGATATACCTGAAAGGGATCTTATTAGGTAAGGCTTTTTTATTTTATTGTTCCTACCTAAAATGTAAAATGTATTTTTTAATAGTGGAGAGTATATTAATAGGGAGAGTATTATTATTATTTATTATAATTACGCAGCCTAAACTATAAAAAAATACAAAAAACCATAACCTATAAAAAACTATAAAATACTGTAAAAAATACTATAAAAGACTATAAAAAAAACTATAAAATACTATAAAAACTATAAAAAACTATAAAAAAAAACTATAAAAAACTATAAAAAAAATATAAAAAAACTATAAAAAACTATAAAAAACTATAAAAAACTATAAAAAACTATAAAAAACTATAAAAAACTATAAAAAACTATAAAAAAACTATAAAAAAACTATAAAAAAACTATAAAAAAACTATAAAAAAACTATAAAAAAAACTATAAAAAACTATAAAAAAACTATAAAAAAAACTATAAAAAACTATAAAAAAACTATAAAAAACTAAAAAAAACTATAAAAAAAAACTATAAAAAACTATAAAAAAACTATAAAAAAAAACTATAAAAAAACTATAAAAAACTATAAAAAACTAAAAAAAAAAACTATAAAAAACTATAAAAACTATTAAAAAAAAAACTATAAAAAACTATAAAAAACTATAAAAAAACTATAAAAAAACTATTAAAAAACTATAAAAAACTATAAAAAAACTATAAAAAACTATAAAAAAACTATAAAAAACTATATAAAAAATATAAAAAAACTATAAAAAAAACTATAAAAAAAACTATAAAAAAACTATAAAAAAAACTATAAAAAACTGTAAAAAAAAAAACTATAGAAAACTATAAAAAACTGTAAAAAACAACTATAAAAAACTATAAAAAAACTATAAAAAAAACTATAAAAAACTATAAAAAAAACTATAAAAAACTAAAAAAAAAAACTAAAAAAAAACTATAAAAAAAACTATAAAAAAAAACTATAAAAAAAAAACTATAAAAAAAAACTATAAAAAACTATAAAAAAAAAACTATAAAAAAACTATAAAAAAAAATCTGATGTGTCCAACACATGACTTTCCTATCTAGTTTTTATAGGCTTTTTCCGGTTATTTTGTACAACCTATTGCAGCACCTCTATAAATGTTTAGAGGATAAACTAAATATATATTTTTCACATGCATCTAACTCGAAACATTTTTCTATAGATATTCATTGAAAACGAAAATACTGAAAAATTTAAATTTAGCACTTTTCCTTCAATTTTTCCAATACGGTTCATTTTAGAAAAATCATGTATAAACAAAAATTATAGAGATCGATATCGCAAACAACTTTTATTTCAACAATTTTCATAAAAATTAGAATTTTGCACATTTTGTCAAATTTCTCGAATACGGACCATTTCAGGAAATTTTGACATAAAGCAAAAATTATAGATAATAATATTAGAAATAACTTTTATTTGAACAATTTTTTTCTCCAAACATAAATAACAGATATATTCCATAAAGTTCCGCCTTTGTCTAAAATCTAATCATTTCACCTCAGCCGAAATAAAACTTAAGTTTAAAATTTAATGTTTTTTCCTTTATCCGTTTTTGAGTTTTCTTCAAAATTTACACATTTTCTCAAATATCTCGAATACGGTCCATTTTAGAGAAATTATCTATGGAATAAAAATTATAAAGAATTATATTACAAACAACTTCTATTTCAACAATTTTTATAAAAAAATATTTTTTTTACATTTTGTCAAATTTCTCGAATACGGACCATTTTAGGAAAATTTTGTATAGAACAAAAATTATAGATAATAATATAAGTAACTTTTATTTGAAGAATTTTTTTCTCCAAACGTAAATAACGGATATATTTCATAAAATATAAAAATGACCACTAATAAAGTACCCCCCCAAATGTTCCGACTCTGTCCAAAATCTAATCAGTTCACCGCAGGCTGGAATAAAGCTTAAGTTTAAAATTTGGTGTTTTTCTTTGTATCGGTTCATGAGTTATGGTGGATACAAACACACACACACACTGACACACACACGCACACACACACACACACTATAAAAATATAAAAAGTTGAGCAGACTATAACAATTATTTCTTTTGTTTGTGATCAAATAATAATCAGTGTCATAATGTGAAGCCCCTATGTATATTTTTCTATTTATAAAAATCTATAAAATCCATAAAAATCTATAAAAATCCATAAAAATCTATAAAAACCTATAAAAATTTATTAAAATCTATAAAAATCTATAAAAACCTATAAAAATCTATAAAAATATGAAAATCTATAATCGTTGAAATACATCCAATTAGATATTATTTCAAGTTTACAGAAATTTCGCATTTTTTTCCTCAAAATTATAAACAAAACGCCATTTTTGTATGAATAAGTTACAAACCTTGAAAATGGTTGCAAATTTAAATTTAGAAACTTCAATTATTATTCTTTTCTAAGTTTAAAAACTTTTGTTAAAAATGTAAATTTTTCAAAGTCTTTATTAACTATTCCGCTGGGGTAATGAAATACTATATATTTTATTTTATTCGCTATTATTCAAATACATTAATATTTCTCATAAAATCAGCATTGTATTCTTTTGGTCGGAATGACTTTTTAACTTATATTTCAGGGCTTTGCAATCTTTAGCAATGGGTAAAGCTACTCAAAGGATTCTGATTAAAAATCCTAAAACGAAAGAGATCGAATCGAATCACGAATTTTATGTGAACGATTCTTTTACATCCAAGTTACACCGAGTTAAGATACAAACCGTAGCTGCCAAGGGAGAGAATGAACCTGAAAGAAGGGAAACTAGAAATAAGGTAACGTTTTTTATTCTGCTATAATCTATTTAGTGAGTCTTATTTGTCTATTCTTTAGGGACTGGGAATTTTTTGAAATACTATAACTTTGGTATTTAAAGTATTTATTGCATAAAAAAGTTTTAGTAGTAGTAGTAGTAAAAAGTTTATAGTATCCTATTCGTTACATTTTTTCATATTTCGGTTATTTTTGAAGCTTTTATATTTTATTCATTTTTATTGTGTTTATTATAGGTCGACGAAGACAGAAAACACGAGATCGAGGCAGCTATCGTGAGGATAATGAAATCGAGGAAGCGGATGGCGCACAACATTCTCGTCACAGAAGTAACGGAACAACTAAAAAGCCGCTTCCTACCCTCTCCAGTAATCATAAAAAAGAGGATAGAGGGCTTAATCGAACGGGAGTACCTGGCGCGAACCCCAGAAGACCGAAAAGTGTACACGTACGTGGCATGAACTTTAAAAAGGATCATTATGAGACTTTGGATATAGTGGTCCAGTGATCTACAATAGCTGAATATTTACATAAACGTAATTAATCTTAATTAAATTATTCCAGCAGTTAATTTTCTTTTATAGACTGGTTACGATTTTAAAATAAATCTTCATATGGAATATGTCCGTATTTTGCCGAAAATTCGGCAACATCCTGCAATTGGACTTGGGCCCTTCATTAAGCTACTTAGTCCTCGACGTTGCTTTGATTCGATTTTGTGCATTCTCAATTTAAACCTTCTTAATGCCAAGAGCAATTATTTCTTCGAGAGTAGAAGTTCAATTATTTTTTTTTTAATTCTTTATATTGTAATAACTATTAAAAATCAATTTTGTCGCGGTAAAAAATTATCAGTCCCAATTTACAACGAAATAGCAAAGTTAGAAAGTTAATTAATTTCGTGCATATTTTTAATATTCAGAAATAAAAGCGGTTAAACTAAACAGTGTATCGGAAAAGTGAAAATTGCTCTCAAATGGATTGAAACGTTCGTTTACGCATGTTGCCAACTTTTCTGCAAAAATATCGACTGACATTCGATTTTTCAAAATGAAACCAGTCTACTTTCCTTATTTTTCGTTTGTCCGATTGATGATTTTGAAGTTTCTATTTCCGATTGTTACTAGAAGAGATCTACTACATTATTATATTATATACATTATGCGTTCAGGATATATATATATATAAAACGAAATGATAACTTCCGGACCACACGACGCAATATGATACGACAACGGGGACTTTTTTATTAAAATAATGTGATAGAATGTAATTGACAGAAGAATTATGAATTATTTTCAAAATAAAGATTGCTCCGCACAATTTTAGAAAGAGTGATTGGTAAAATTCTGACTCTAGAATATATTATTTTATGTTCCATTATCTTTATACAGTGTGTAACAGCCAAATGGAATAAATTCAGTACACTTCAAGTTTAGGTTATAAAATGACATCCTGCAGAGTGAAAATGTCATCGCTATCTTCAACCCCCGTTTAAGAGACAGTTGCAATCCCCAAATTAGTGAATAGGAAGTAGGGGCTGTGATACCCCATTTAAGAGATCTTTTCAGACTCTATTTAAAAATACTGGTTTTCAAAATTATTTCAAAAATTAACATTAAAAATTGTACATTAAAAAAATTAATTAATTACTAATGAAGTTGTATGAAGGTATTCTAGTAGGATAACCTTATGGAAAGATCATTGGAGGACGATGGACATAGAATGTAGATGGCGACAGTATATCGCGGGCGACCTGGCAAAACCTCCTATCTGATAATTGACAAACTTTACAGGAAACACAAAAACTTTGTTACGGCTTTTAAGGTAGTTCACTCGCGACAGTCGTTCACAAAAATATCGCCCTATAGTGAATACCAACCGTTTGAGATTCTTAATTCTAAAGAAAGGTTATTTTTGTAACAGACTGTACACACAACACATGTGATTCTATATACAAATATGGTATTATATCGCGTAAAATCCTTCCGGCAACGTCGCAAATATATTGTGAAACGTCAACTGTATTCCTAAAGTGAAATAAATGTAAATATCAAAATGTTTCATTGTCAGGATCAATTAATTGCGAGGTAAAGGAAAATTTGTTAACGTCCTCAACAAACCCCAAAATTCAATTTTGGCTATGAATAATGCAAAAAAATTGAGAAAGGAAACCCCAAGCTTGGAAAATAACCTGTGCAGTGGTCGCATCGTGGAATTACTAGAGTTGGGACAACATTTACAATGGTGCTGGTGTGAAAGAGTTTTTTATCTTGAAAATATTACAAATGAAACACGAAAGGGCCTTTATTAAATTTTAAATGTTAAATATAATGAATGTAATATTGAAACTATAGTACCTACTGACAAAGTTCATGCAACAAAAAGTGAAGTTAAGCATTCAGATATCAACACTAAAGTAGTTCTAGGTAAATTTAAAAAAAAAATACATAAGTTGTTATGTTTATAATTTTTTAATTATAATTAATATAATTTTATTTATTTAAAGGTGCTGTCTATTCAGGGTTTGGTCAAATTGCTTTAAATAAATTTCTTGCTGTCATGAACGTTCCTACGATATCATCAATACTACAGAAAATCATTACTTTTATTTGTATTTTTTTATGACTTTCTCATACTAGTAAGTTAAAATTTTAAATTACTTTATATTAATTTTTTTTGTGTAAATGTATTTTATTTTGAAGGCATGTTTAAATAAAATTATATTCATCTTTTGCATATTTATTTAATTTTGAAGACATGTTTAAATACAATTAAATTTAATTTGTTAAATCATATCAACCTAAAGTATAAACAACGTCTCTTCCCAGAAGGCCTCGATAAAGTAATCAATTTGACCTGTCCGCGGCAATAAAAAGGTTGGGAAGCACTGATCTAACAGTCATTTGAATTAACGGGCGTTGAGTGTATCGATTACAACGTTGCCAAGTTGTAATCACAATACGCCACTATGCGTCGACTGCTTTAAGAACATTTTTATTTTAAAAATCTATATTTCTTTATCAAAACGGTAAAAAAACAGCGTTTTTTTTTTTAAATTTATATCTTCTTGATTTACATTACATTAGTTTTTAAAAAATATGGTAACCGTTTTCGAAATATCTTGAAATAAATGCAATGATTGTGTACATGACAGGGCTTCAAGAGTGTTAATTATGCACATTTTGATTGTTAATATCTCGTTTTACAGACGGTCAAAAATTTTTATAATTTTTAGGTACATAAAAGACACTTTCATTAACCTCATATTTCAATTTTATTGAATTCTTAAGAAAGGCCGTTTTACGAGTGAACTACCTTAAAAGAATATTTTGCTACTTTTTTTGTTTAAAAGTGCATTTGGACTATTTTCTTTGTTATATTTAAAAATTAATTGTACAATATAGTTCTTACATAAACATATAGGTCAGATAGGAGATATTGACATTGATAAAATAACTAAAGGGAATTTTTGCATCACTTTTTTTTTTCGGATATAAATTGAAGTAAGCAAAATAATTAGTATTAAAATAATTTCAAAATAGCTTTATTAAAATTAACGAATATTTTTGAACCCCATCTTTGCTTGGGATTATATAAAAAGAAAAAAAAAATAACTGATAATATTAGAGAAATCAAAAAGTTTAAGTATTACAATAATAGTAATTAATGTTAGAAACTAATCTTTTTGATTGTCGTAAAACGAATGCGTATCTTATAGTAATGCCGATTTAAGATCCTGAAGGTGGTTTCATTTTTCTCTTTTAATTTTACATTGGCTTTTTAAAAGTTGTGGGTAGTCATTTATTGGGTCCAAAATCTTTGGTCTTACAGGCAGATCAATATAGTCACTATCGTAGTCTAACTTCACTTGAATTTTCCCGTTGGGAATGTACTTCATACATTTAATATCATTGACGACGGGATCATTGGTCTTTTTACCTGAGCGTATTGAAGAATATCGATGAAACTTGGAATCAGAAAAGTTTTTGAAAAAGTTGTAGTCTAAAATTTATACATCTTAGGGTTTAGGATTTAATCTTGATTCTTTAGTAACGGAAGCGTAATCACTTGGTAAATGTATTTCGCGATGACGTAGTTTTCTCGCTATGAACCGAGTCACACTCCATTTGAGTGTGACCCGGCTCTAAATACTTCTGGTATACAAATATTTGGTGTTTGATGGAAAAGTTTAAAATAGCATTGGACAAAATATTGTTTCTATTCTGAAAGCCACAACTATCAGAATAGATAATAATGGACAACTTGTCAGGGGTCAAACAATTTTTCTCCAAGAAGTCTATTATGCAAGAAGTAAACGTAGAAGCTTGTAGCTGATTGTTTTGGTCCTCGGAAAACCAGTAGCAAGTTACATCACGAGTGGCCAAATTGTATAAAGTAAAATTGTGACAACACAGTTTTGTTTTAAAATAGATTTTTCCAGCTGGCAAAAATGGCGCTGGTTTGACTGCCTGTAAGTCTATTGTTAATGCCACAATTTTTCTCTTTCCAGCTAATTCTTTGTCGGTTGTCTTTGCCTTCTTAGCGCCTTTTCTTTATTGGCTACATGAATTTTCCACTTCTCTTCAGTTTCATTTTTATATTTATACGAAAAACATGTGTTGCACTGGTCTTTTTTTTTGCCGGAAAAGTGAGAGATTTTTTTCGTGAAAGACTTTGTTAAATATATTTCTACTCATTGAAGGACGCCCCCCGCAGTTTTTTGTTTTTAATTCGAGTCCAATTCTTTTCGTCTGTCTTTTTCTTCCTATATTAACATTTTCGTCTTCAATGAATTGGTTCTCTAATGTATTTTTCACATCGTTTTCGCTTTCTGTATCTGACTTACTGTTTGATGGTTGTTTATAAGTATCACTATTGTTTCCATTTTCTTAGTCACTTGGTACCTCATTGGCTACTAAAGATTTGGGTTCTAAAGTATTTGAAATGTTTAATATTTCTAATTGGGTGTGATTTATATTAGGATTATCGTCGTTTATTATATCTAAACAGTCTTTAAAAGAATCTGTCCAACTCACTAGTGTTGATTTCAGTGACTAAGCAGTCTTCAATATCATTTAGATTATTAACATCCATCACAATATGTTCTAGAGAGGTAGCAGGTAGATTTGGTATACAGTTTTCTAATTTATCACATTTTAAATTGTTCGTTAGGTTTGTATTACTCAGTAGACGGTCTTCAAACACTAAAGACCTCGTTTGTGTCTGTAATAAATATTCCTTTGCAGTGATTACAGGTATATTGTTAATATCAAATTGGTCGATATCTCTTGTTTGCTGCTCCATGGAAAAGTTTCCATTAGAAGGAGAATTATTATTTTTAGTTGAATTCAGCATGGCAATAATTTTTTCCCTCTGGAAGACATGATTTAAAATCTCCTATACGACTTTTTTATGCGGCTGCAAAATCTATCTGAAATAAAAACGAAACGTAAGTTAAAATAGATCTACAATCCTGTTTGAAATAATGAAATAAAAATTATCTATACCTAATAAAAGATGCATTTGTCAAAAAATATTAAATAAAACTTACCGTTTTTTACATAAAAATAATAAAAACAAAGCACGTGTAGCCGTCTTGACATGCATCGTGTGACTGAGTATTGACGAAGTAAAGGATAGGAGATTCTGCATGCCGCGACAGGTTGGGTTTCTAATGGGAAAATTTGAAATAACAGAGTTTAACGATTTTGCGATTTTTTGAACTATAGGATAATTATACTTAACATGCGCATGGGCTAGTAGAATGCAAAAACAGTAATAACTCATTTTCGGTAAAAATTGCAGATTGGAGTTTTTGCCAGGTCGCCCGCGATATCTTGTGTCCAAATCGGGTCTTTAGATCATGCCTGTGCTTGAGTATGAATTATAATTTAAAATCTTCTTTTTCATTTCTACTTGTCTTCGGTAATGTATTTTTATAGTTACAATTCAAAATTATTACAAAAGGGTATTTGAAGGTCACATAAAATGCCAAAATAATCAATATAATAAAATAAACCAGTTTTTGTTTAGAAAAGATTGAATGAGTTGAGGTTGGGTGGAATTTTACTATAATAGGAAATATTTTTTTTTTATATTGTGGTTAGATGTTGGATTTTGGATTGATCGCTGACGGTTAATTAATACTTGAGTTTTACACTGTTAATTTTTATTCACTTTTATATAATGGTATCAAATTAAGAATAGGATATGAACAACTGAAGATTATTGTGTTCAAAATGAGACGAATAAACGAAAATAAAAAATGCTTGGATAAAATG